CCTCAAAGACTGTCCAAGAGGCCTCCAGGAGGACCCACAAGAATACCCGAAGAGGTCCAAAGCATTGATATTCCTTGGGTGTTTCAAGGTTTTTGGCTTTTGCGCCGTGGCGGCCTTCCGACTGCCTAAGATGGGCTCTCGAACCTCCAAGATCACCACAAGGTCGTCGCAGAAGCCTGCAATATGTCCCCCTTATGAAAGCCCCAGAAGCACCCGAGCCGACAAAAAGAAGGCCCAAAGACGGCCCACACAGATTTTGGCTAGTCTGTCTCTAGCATGGCTACGGATGGCCCAAGATGGCCCCCAAGATCGCCCCAAGATCGCCCAAGAGGCCTCCAAGATGGGCCCATGATGATCCAAAGAACCACCAAGACGGCCGCAATGGGGCCCAAAGACGGCCCAAGAGGCTTCCAAGACGGAAAGATTGCCCCCAAGACAAAGATGGCCAAATATAGCCCAAGATGGCCGCATGATGTCTCCAAGACGCCCCAAGATGCACCCAAGACGACCTGAGATGACCTCGGATTGGCCCACGAGGCCCCCGAAAGGCTCCCAAAACAACCCAGGAGGCCTCCAAGGCGTGTTCCAGGACGGCCCGGAGTAGCCAAACTTATCGGTTCCCCAACCAGTGTTTGCCCTTAGGGGTTCGCACTTCTTATTCAGGAGCTGGGCTGGTGTGGCGGTCTGGCAGCTATGTTGTCGCCGTCGCCGCCCCGTCGCCGCCTCGTTGCCGCCTGTCGTCTTGGCTGGTATGCACGTCATCTTGGCCGGCGTGGCAATCTGGCGGATATGTTGCGCCACGCATATTTCACCACCCAGGTTGCACCACGCAGATTGCCTGACGTAGATTGGACCACCTAGACTGCACCACAAACATTGCACCATCTAGATAGCACAATGTAGATTTGGCATCGTGTACTGCACCACATATATTGCACACACCTCGGTTGCGCCACATACGTTGCCTCACATAAAGTCCCCTTCTTAAAATATATAAGCTCTACCCCCCCCGGAGTTATCACTTCCCCCAGGTCCGATGTAAATCACATATGATTTTGACCACATGCCCATCCGAAATATGAAATCACAATGTCCCAGGCCAATCGGGTTCCCCCCCTGAGGTTCCCTTGTAACAGCAAAAACACTATGCGGTGACATTTCCTGTTCTAACATAACAGTTTTTTTACGAACCCTTTGCAACAGATGGGACGAAGTGCACACGCGCGCGTCGTCGCGCGCGCATGCCGAAATCCTTCAACAACCTTCGGTGCTGGAAGGATTTCGCAATTTAGTTTCCAAGCGACATACAAAAACACAGGGTTTCGCAACACTGGTTTGTTAAAAAAGCTTACGCGCGAGCTCTTGCAACATCTTAAGAAAACCATGTTTTTTTCTTTTTTTTCAAACTTAAAAAAATGCTACCAAACGGGTTTCGCGCGCGCATGTCGAAATCTGTCGAACGCCATTGCGCGTGTGCCGTCGCGAGAATCCTCTGCAAAAAACGGGACGAAGGGCAGACGCGCGCGTCGTCGCGCGCGTATGCCGAAATCCTTCAAAACCCATCGGTTTCGGAAGGATTTCAAAATCGTATCCAAAAAACATACAAAAACACAAGGTTTCGCAACACGGATTTTCAGCAAAAGCGCGTCGTCGTCGTCGTCGCCGTCCTCTCTCCTCCCGCGTCGTCGTCGTCGTCGTCGCCTACGTCGTCCTCTATCTTTCCTCGTGTTCGTCGTCGGCGTCCTCTTTGGCGTCGTGGTCGTTTCCGTCGTCGTTGTCGCCGCTGTCGTCCTTCCTCCTCCTCCCTCGTCGTCGTCGTCGTCCGTCGTCGGCGTCTCGTCGTCGTCCCTCCTATTTCGTCGCCGTCGTCGTCGTCGTCGTCGTCGTCGTTGTCGTCGTCGTCGTCTTCCGTCCTCCCTCGTCGTTGTCGTCGTCGGCGTCGCCGTCCTTCCTCCTTCTCCGTCGTTCGCGTCGTCGCCGTCCTCCCTCCTCCCTCGTCGTTGTCGTCGTTGTCGCCGTCGTCGTCCTCCCTCCTCCCTCGTCGTCGTCTTCGTTGGCGACGTCGTCGTCTTCGTCGTCGTCGTTGGCGTCGGCGTCGTCGTCGTATTCGTCGATGTCGGCGTCGTCGTCGTCGCCGCCGTCGTCGTCGTCGTCGTCGTCGGCGTCGCTGTCGTCGTCGTCGTCGTCGTTGTCGTCGACGTAGTCGTCGTCTTCGCGGTCGTCGTTGTCATCGTCGTTGTCGTCGGCGTCGGCGTCGTCGTCGTCGTCGTCGGTGCCGTCGTCGTCGTCGTTCTCGGCGTCGTCGAAGTCGTTGGAGACGTCGTCTGTGTCGTCGTAGTTGTTGTCGACGGCGTCGTCGTCGTCGTTGTCGCTGTCGTCGTCGGCGTCGCTGTTGTTGCCAAGTGCCATTTGGTACCCACCGTCACGGTCTTAACAGATTTTGCAAACCAGGTTGCGGGTGGGCGGGTGGGATGTTTGTGCGAGCAGTGGGGTGGACAACTCATTGCGAACAGCAATTAATTGCACCACATGGACTGCACCAAACAGTTTACACCACCTATATTACACAACATCAATTGCACAACATGTGCTGCACCGCACACATATATATATATACATATATATATATATAGATTGCACCACATCAATTGCGCAACGTATGTCTCACCGCATAAATTGCAGCACATGCCTTGCCAAGCATGTATCGCACAACACAGATTGCACCAAATATAATGCACCACCTAGGTTGCACCGCATGTGTGGCACATCGTAGTTTGCACCACCTAGACGGCATCACATATGCTGTACAACAAGGATTCTGCAACATGAATTGCACCACGTATAGGCTGCACCACATATAGGTTGCACCAACGGTAGATTGCATCACATAACTTGCACCCTAATTGACTCTCCCCCTCTCTGGAATTTGAGGTGGGTATTGCAATTTCAAATGTAGTCTGCATACTCGTCCATCCTAAATATGAATGCAAACTATCCCAGCCAGGCCGGTATCGCCCCCCCCCCCCGCCATCCCTGCCAAACCATACGATGCGCGCGCACTTCTTCATCTTGAGAAAGCAACTGTCAATGACCCCTTGCAGCGTTATCCACGCAGTCATCGCGCGCGCGCCCAGGTCAAATCGCACCGAACACAATGTGTTTGCAAGCGTTTCAACGTACAAACCTATAAGCAAACCCAGAGGTTTTGCCGCGCATTTTTTTTTTTTTTTTTTTTTTTTTTTAAAAAAAAAAAGCCCTGTCCGCGCGCCCGTGTTGAAATCATACAACATCCATAAGACTCTGATGAATTCGGCCAGATCCAGCGATTTCATGTCACCGTGCGGTGCACCCGCGATACTCCTGTCATGCGCCGCGGGCGCGAATCCCTTGCAACAGAAAAAACCACGCGGGCCACATGCGCGCACCGCCGCGCGCGCATGATCAGTCTGACGGATTTGTTGGACTTCCGCGCGCGCGGATTTCCTTTTCAACCGTGTCAGCATCACCGCGATCACCTGCCTCATCGACAGATGGACATCAGCATCGTCAGCGTGTTTGCCATCATTGGCGCCGTTATCATTCGTGCCGTCGCCCTCTTGAACATCGTCGTCGCTGGTGCCATCTCCGTCATTGTCGCAGACGTTGCTGGCGTCATCTTGTCATCGCGCACGTCCGAGTATCGTCGGTATGCTCACCTTCAGCATCGACCCACGGTGGCGAGCATCGGCAGTGAGGATGTTAGCATCGATGTCGTCATCGGTGGCGCCGCCGTCCCCGCATCATGAGTTTTGCCAAACAAGTTGCGGGTGGGAGGGTGGGATGCTTGCGCGAGCGGTGGAGATGACGACTTCAAGTTAAGCAGAGCGGTTGCAAAACATAGACTGCGCCACATGTATTGCGCAATATATGTTGCATCAACATCGAGTGCAAACAGAAATTGCACCATATCGACTGCACCGCATAGATTGCCACATCTATTCCGCCACGTAGATGGCACCACATTCATAACACACCATCGGGCTCACTAGATGGATTGCTAGAAGCACACTGCTTGGGGCCAGCGCTGGATAGCATGCTCCTTCTGTGTTAGATGTTTTTGGCATTTTCTCCTTTTTCAGCTTTCCAACAGCCCAAGATGGCCCAAGAGGCTCCCAATATCGCGAGGCCTCCGGGAAGCTCCTAGGAGGCCCCAAGCGTGCCCCAAGAGGCTCCCGAGAGGCCTCCTCCTCCTCCTCCTCCTCCTTCTCCCCTTTCCTCCTTCTCCTCGTCCTCCTCGTCCGCCAGCGCGTGTTCCCCGAACAAATTCCACAACGGCTGGGGGAACACATTGTCCAATAGCTTGGTGCAATATATGTTGTGCAAGCTATGTGATGCAATATATTCGGCGCAATCTATGTTGTTCGATCTAGGGCGACCGGCGACAGGGCTGCGACGGCGACAACATAGCCGTCAGACCGACAGACAGGCTCAGACGACGGGCAGCGACGACAACAGAGCCGCCAGACCGACAGACAGGCCCAGTTCCTCAGACTAGAAGAAAAAAACCTAAGTGCAAGCTCCTTTTTGTATTTCATATATATATGTATATATAATTTGAATGTAGTCATATATATATATGCACGTGGTTGTGCACACATCTGTATATATACATACATACATATTTATATATATATATATATATATATATATACGCACGTACACACATATGTATACATATATATATATGTATATAGGCACATATATATATATACATATATATATGTATGTACATATAGATGTATATATAGGTGTGTGCATGTAGACACGCACTCACGCACGCGCACACACACACATGCACACACAGACACACACACACACACATGCACACAGCACACACAAACGCACACACACAAATATAGATACATACATGTATGTCTATATAATACGCACGCACACACACACACCAATCCTGAGCCACAAGACTGGCCTTGCGAGGACCAGTGCTGGCGCCCCCCGGCAGCCTGTAGCTGGTGATGGCGCTTCCCTGGCAGCCCGGCTCGGCCCACCGGACGAGCACGCCGCCTGGGAGCGGCTCGAGGGCCCCTGGCGCTTCGGGCCGCAGGGGCCTCTCTGGGCGCACCTGCAGGGCCTCGGATGTCGCCGACCACTCCCCCGGCCCCGCCGAATTCGCGGCCCGGGCGCGGACGAAGTAGCGGCTGCCGGGATGGAACTCACCCTCCGCCGTGGCCTCCACGTCATCGTCGCAGGCGGGTGGCGGGGCTGGCGAGAACGCGACGTTGCGGATCTCGCGCGCATTGCGGCTCATCAGCGCGTCGTCCGCGACGCACAAGTCGTAGCGGCTGGGCGGCTCGCCGGGCCCGCCGGGAGCCCTCCACCGCAGGCGCATGCCATCGGAGAGGGAGCCGCTGACCAGCTTCGGGGGGCCGCACCGCGCCGGCGGCGAGGACAGGGTCCTCATCGGCCCGCTGACCTCGGAGGAGGGCCAGTGGAGACAGCGGCGGCTCTCCCGCCAGGCACAAAGCCTCTTCAAAACCTGTCCCCAGACCCCTCCGGGGGTCCATTCTGACCCGCTCCCAGAGATCCGACGTCTCGATTCTTTTGAAAACGGGGTCCCCTGAAGTCTCGACCCATTCCCTTGGACCGGTTGGCTCATCCTGAGTTGGTTTTTGCTAGTTCTGGGGCCCGGCGAGGGCCTCCAGAGACTGAGCATGGCGACAGATCTCCGTCTTGAATTTTCAATGCGTTGGATCTCTGGGCTTCTCGAGGCGGGTCCAGCCGTGGCGACGAGAGGCCTCCAGGAGGTCCCGAGGAGGACGAAGAACGCCAGGGAGCCGCCGCCGCTGTCTCGACTCGACCAGGCCCTGCTCTGGCGACCTCGCTCCACTCCGAGGCCGCCACCTGGTTGAACGCCTGCACCTGGAAGTGGTAGCACGTGGCGGGGAGAAGCCCGCGGACCCTCTGCTGCGTCAGCGCGAAGGTGCCCCTGGCGAAGCCCGGCCTCCGCATCTGAGGCGAGGACGCGCCGCCCTGCTCGCCTCCGACGGGCACCTCGAAGGGCTGGGTGCGAAGACGGAACGAGCGGCACAAGCCGAAACCGTCGGAGGCCTGTGCGGATTCCTTGGGTCTGCGCTCGGATCCCCTCTCTGGCGCGAGGAGGCGCACCAGGGGCGGCGCCGGAGGCGCCGCAAGCGAGGGGCCAGCTCCGAGCCAATAGATCCGCGCGGTCCTCCGAATGTTGGGTTCGTGCCGTGCTTTCGTCTTCGAGCTGGTCCATGCTGGCGGACGTGGAGCCCCGGACGCAGTAGTGCGTGATAGGGACGGAAGACTCCGGGGCCTCCCATTTCAGCAGGATCTCGCTGGTTGACGGGTGGCCGAGGGGCTCAGGCGCGGTGGGCCTCTCTGGCCCCCGCGCAACGGTGGCGATCCCAGGGCTCGCTGCGCTCCACTTCGAGACGCCGTGCTTGTTGTGCGCCCGGTTCCTGAAGTAGTAAACCGAGTTGGGCGCCAGCTGGTCCACGACGCAACTCGTCGCTTGGCCGCTCGCCTTCAACTGCCGTGTTCCTGGGTCCTGGAACTCAGGGTCCATGCTGCACTGGAGGTCGTAGAAAAGAATGTCGGCGCCCCGATTGCACGGCGCTGGCCACTGGATCTCGATCCTGTCTGGGAAGCGGGACACCAGGCTGGGGCGCGTCAGAGCCAGTCCCAAGCTCGTCGTGGACTGCATTGATTGTCTGCTGCCTGTGAACGGCAAGGATTCTGCGGACGGGTCGGGATCTGCCTGGTATCTCGGGGAGAGCTCGGAGCTGCTGGGCATCATAAACTCCTCGGACGGGTCGCTCCACGCGCCATCTCCAGCCGAGTTGAACGCCATCACCTGGAAGACATAGTTCATGCCCCCCTGCAACCACTCTATCGTGACGCTTGACTGCTGGAAATCGGGCTTCTCATCACACACTACCGGCTCCGTGGACGCGATGTGTGCCTCTCGGAGGAGGGCCAATCTTTAGACAACGGCGGGTCTCCAGCTCGGCCCTAATCCGCCCAAAGTGGGTCCCCGGACATTCGCTCTGGCCTTCTGCTTTCGGCCGCGGCCGCGGCCGCACCGCAGTTGCAGCTGCGGCCGCGGCTGAGAGGAGGGAATCTATGGCGCTTTTCTTCGCTGTGGGCTCTGCTCCCAGCCGCGGCCGCAGCTGCAGCTGCGATCGCAGCTGCCAATTCTCGAGGCGGATCCAGCCGTGGCGACGAGGGGCCCCCGGGAGTCCCAGGAGAGGACGAAGACCGCCAGGGAGGGCCGCCGCTGTCTCGACCCTGCGCCCGTCTCGAGGAGCAAACGCACAACAACCACTGCGTCAGCACAAACTCTCGGAGCTCCGAGCGGACCGCACACGGACAATAAGTTCGAACCCTGCGGCGCAAGATGCTCGAGGGTGCGGCACTGGAGAGGGCCTGGATGGCAAAAAATACTCGAACCCCCAAACCATTACCCACGGTAAAATCAACATTGACTTCTGGGGCTGGGGAGTGTTGAACATCCCCATCATGTGCGCGAGAGTTCGAATCTTTTCCATGTGCTGGACCTCAAAATTGTTATGTGTATGTCTTTATTGGTTCCCCTACTCCGAGCCTTCGCGTCGCCGTCCTCGTCGTCGCTCCAGGCCCAGTAGCGCAGCCTATAGCCGGTGACTGGGTGGTCTGGTGGAGCCTCCGCCCGCGCCTTGGGCGTGAGCGAGGGCGTCTTCCTCTGGGTGCGCCGAAGAAGGGAGCCAGGGAGAGGGAGGGGCGCACCGTAGCCATGGCCAGAGGTGTCGCGCGGACGAGGGGGGCAAGCGGACGCGTCAAAGGAAGATTTCATTGCCCAGGCCATGATATCCACACCCAACTGGTCCTCTCCCGCCCCTGGGACGCCCCCGAGTCCTCGCCGCCAGCGCCGGTGTCCTGGCGCGCCGGGAGTGCAGGTCTGCCGGGGGCGTCCAGTGGAGGTCCGCCACGAAGGAGTTCAGGAGCTGCAGCGTGGGCCTCGCCATCTTGTCCGGGGGCTCCAGTCGCCGTGGCTCCCGAGGCGGCATCTGGAGATATCACAATCGGGGTCCGAGAAGTTGGGGCTTCCCCTGAAATGCTGGCATCGCAATTGTGTCACACCCGGCGTCATGGCCCAGATTCAGGACCTGGGGCCTTCGCATACATCGACCTGGCTTGACCAGTGCCGCAGAAACCCTGAGGCCCGACGTCGCCAAAAATGAAAACATCTCGAGACATCTTGAGACATCACGACCGGAACCCTCACGAGGCCCCACATGTCTGCGCCGTTTTTCGAGCCCGATCGATCTCTTGAGGGCCACCCGGCCCGCAACGGGGTGGCAAAAACGCCAGGCTCGGAGAAATTGCAGCGCCCGGACCCTGGGTCGGGGAGGCGTAGGACTCGGGTTCCAGGGGGCTCGGGTTGGCCTGACGGGGCCATCATGACGATGACGAGACCCAATCTGAAATTTGACGCGGCATCCCACGAACACCGAACTGTCAAAATCCAGGACGCGCTCGTCAAAAAGTGCGGCAAGCCCGAATTCCAGCGTACTCGGGTCTTACGTTCTCCGCCTAGGGGAAGGTGGAGTCTGCGGCTCTGGCCGTGACTTCTCACGACGTTGGATTTCTTCGCGACGTCGTACCTCAGGGTGGGAGGATCGCGCCGCATCGCCGAGGCATCGGCGACGTCGGCGATGCCTCAGCGCCGTCGGCGTGGAGAAACTACAGCAGACACATACCATAAGACATCTTGTCCTAAGAAATCTTGGGGTACTTTGTCCGTCGATCTTTGAGGGTCCTGGGGTGGCACAGCGCCTCTGTGGGTCCCTGGGGGCCGTCGGGGGGCAAGGAACTTCCGTGGGGCACCTGCTGCCAGGCTGATTTCTAATTTGCTGTGCCTACACTGCAAGGCTTCACGTCGTGGTGCATCGGCGATGCACCAGCGATGCGGCGCGCGACCCTCCACACCCACCTCTCTCGGACCCTGTTTGGGAAGCCTGGGGCACCGGCTCCACCGGTCCCGGCGCCAGGGCCATGTCCGCCATCGCCCCCTCCGAAACAGCAGGACCTCCCTGGACATCCGAGGCGTCGTGAATGTTTCGCGCAGCGGCTTCCGAAAGGTCTGGACCTCTTCCCGGGGACGGGCCTTCCATCCTGGGCAGAAATTGGGGGAGTGAAGCGGTGCCGGCACCGCTATCAACCAAGACCTCTCACGGGGTGGGTTCTGACCAGAATTTCGAGGCGAGTCCAATGGTGGCGACGAGAACCTCCTAGGGGGGCGAACAAGGGGAAACTGGGCGAAGGGAAGCGGTGTATGGGAGCCTGCTCCTCCTCTGCAACCTCTGACGGTCCCAGGGCCCGGCGAGGGCTCCCAGAGGTCGAAGGAGCAGCGGAGAAGGCCGCCCGGTCGTGTTCTTCACAAGACGCGATTTTTCTGCGAGCCCCAGGCCGCCCGACCGCACACGCCTCTCGTGGTGTGGCCTTTCCTCTACGCCCGAGGCCCCCTCCCGCGCGCGCTCCTTCTCCGCAGCATCCTTTGGAGGCCTGGAAATGGGCACCAACACCAACATAGGGGGCTGCCTCCACAGGGGTAAGATGATCCTAGATTTCGGTGCTGGTGGTAATATTTCGGTCACCTTGGAAGTCAGAGTATTACCAACATCACCGAGATCGGGATCCTCTTCCCTCGGTGGAGGCACACCGCAGATATTGGTGTTGATGCCAACCTCTAGGCCTGCGAATCCTTCTCTTGTTTTTTTTCTTGCCCAGGGTGCCCTGCAGTCGGACCTGGGACAGAAGAGCATCCCTCAAGAACACATGGGACTCTCCGCCGGCCGAAACAACCCAAAAAACCGTGTAAGATCATTCGAGGGTGCTCCCCCAAGATGCACAAGAACCTTCGACATGCACGAAGAGTATTCGGGTGCCCTCCCCGAACCCGACCTTAATCTTGCATACCTCGGTCCGACAGTAGCCGCGCGCGGCTCCCCGTCTTTCGACCAAGCTGGTGCTCGCCTTCGCTGCTGGACCCCAAGAGTTGTGGATGCCATGACAATGGACACCCCTACAATCCGACCATCGAGTTGCAAATGTGTCTAACATGTCGGAAAGATGTTCTAAACGTGTGTGAAACCTGTTTTTTACATGTGCAAGACATGGTGAAAACATGTTTTAGACATCTGGACATGACTTGGCAACATGCTTCCTCTCCATTGATCGTCGTCCACAACCCGAGAGCTCTCTCACGACGCCAGGAGGCCCGGGCTCGTCCGGACACCGCTCGCCGTGCGCACCAGCGCGCGAGGGCCAGAGCCTGCTGGGCGGCCGCCCTCCTCCGCCGGGTCCCAGGGCTGTTCCCCGGGCTCCGGCGCTGAGCCCCCCCCCAAAAATGCCTGCGGAAGGGGAGAACGGAGAGGAGGAGGAGGAGGAGGAGAAGGAGGAGGAGGAGGAGGATGAGGAGGAGGAGGAGGAGGAGGAGGAGGAGGGATGACGATGACGGTGGTGATGACTGTGACGGTGATGATGGTGGGGGGAGAAGGGGAAGGAGGAGGATGAGGAGGGGGATGGAGTTTCATGTTGAAGGCGGCTCCTGTCAGGGGCTTGGCAATCGCAGGAAGCTGGGCGCAAGAAGAGGGCTAGTTCCAAATAGAAGGCACGGCTTCCAATCACATGCCGTTCGATAGAGAGCTGCAGAGGCAGAGATCGGCGCAACGCGCTGCGGTGTAGCGATCGAGCAACAAATCACGAAGAGGGGTAACCTTAGATAAGCAACGAGAGCTGCGCCTGTTCCCCTGGGGCCCTGCTGATATCACATTCGACTCGGCCCTCCGTTCAGGCCCTGTGCGAAAGGCCTCCCCGACGGGGTCCGAATAGATGGGGTCGGAGGATCGCGCCGGATTCCCGATGCATTGCCGATGCATTGGCGATGTAGATGTAGCCGCGAAGTCGGCTGTGCATCGGCGGCGCTGGGGTAGAGAAACTCGCGATCCACATCTCGCCGCATCGGCGAGGCATCGGCGATTCGGCGCGATCCCTGGACCCTGCCTAACAAATTACTCGGACCCCATCTGCGAGGCCTGGATGTGTCTGGCTGTTCCTGGCTCGGCCCCGTGCCCTGTCTGCCGCCGTGTTCCTTCGCTCGCTCCTGTCCCCGACCGTCCCCAGCTCTGCCACGCGCCCAAATTGCATAGAATCTCTTTGGTTCGGCACTCTGCCCAACATTGTAACCGTCACGGCAGAGAGGAGCGACACCGACGACGACGCCGGTGGTCACGACGGCGATGCTGCTGACGATGCCGCTGATGATGATTACAAAGGTGTT